TTTTTAAGCCAAATAAAAGCTTCTAATGAAAATCCAAATAATAATAATAATTGATTAATGTTAATTTTAATATAAAAGAAAAGGTTGAGATTATAAACATAGCATTAATAATCAAAATTTAATATTAATAATAGTTAATGAAGTAATTAATCAACTCCGTAATATAAACAAATGTCATATATAATAATATAAATTTAAAAGATTAAGAAATAAATTTGTAAGCTAAATTTTATGTAATTAAAAATAATGGTTTTGGAAACAATGAAACAAGAATCCAAGAAAAAAATCATTCATACATATTTACAAAGAAAATAAGATGTTATTTTCATTATAAATATTTTGAACATATAATACAGATTTTATATTAAAAAGAGTATTGTAAAAAAAATATTTAACAAAATTGTAGACGTGAATGAATACTTTCAATACATATTAAGTAAACTAAACTTGGAGTTTGGCATCCTAAAGTTTATTCTTAACTATCACCTAACATATGAAATATAATAATTAAAATGATAGTAAAAAAAGTGAATCAAGGCATTTTTATACTTACAAGAAAGTGAAATGGTGTAGTAAAGTTTAGAAGCTAATGCGTCTATGATTTACTTAAATTAAGAGAAAAAATATTTCATGATCCAAAAAAGCAGCAAAAAAGGTTGTACTAACACAATGAAAAATTCCCTAAAAATGGTAACCCTATCCACTAAAATTTTAAAGAACTTACCATATGTGAAGCCAGTATCCAATAGTTGAAAAGTATTTTAATCATAAATATGCTCTTTTAAATGTATTTTTTGCCAGAACTACATTTCCATTTTTTATGATGTCAAGTTGAATAAAGATGGACATCATCATGAAATATAGAATTCTATTACATAAACTCTAGTTTATTCAAGCTTTTGAAAATCTTAGGAGGATTACTTGGAATAAAAATTAAGGAGCAATATGAATATATTATGATCTTGATAGAGGATGCAAGAGATAGAAGCAAAAAAAGCTCCCCCAAAATATTTCATTATATGTACAATGATGATATAATTACGTTTAGAGTATCAGGCATTTCAAAAGCTTTGTTAAAGAGTTGAATAAATATCTATCGATTAACAATAACACTTTTAGCATGTTTATTTGAATGAATTAAGGATTGAGTCCCTAAAAGTTGAATGAAGTTAATTAGAAGATAAAAGAGAAAAAGACATAAATAATCATGTTTGTTAAAACAACATAAGAATAATGGTCATATTACAAAAGTATAAAAACTTTTATAAATTTTATTACCATTGAGATTATAGGATCAACAATGGATACCACTTGCTAAACAATTGGCAATGATTATAAAATTTTAGAAGTTTTCAAACAACATATTATACTTTAAATAAAAATAATTTAATCCAGCCTAAGAAAAAGCTTAGAAATTGTTTTGCTCTATGTCAGTAAGTACTATTTAATTGTCTATTTTGATTAAAAGAGTAGTCAGAACATTAGCCTAAACTGATTTATTTAGCATTGAAGCTTGTGTAGAAAACACACTTTTAGTAAGATGGCGAACAAAAAAAATTAATAATAATATCATGACAAAAGTAGTTAATTATTTATCAAAAAGATTAAAATTTACAGGCAATTTGTAACACTTTTGAAAAACCACAAAACATCCAATGCCTCTTTTATGAATATCTCAAAGTAATTTTTCATACCATTAAATTCCAACATTGCATTACTTTTATTAGGTTCTATTAATTTAAGAATTTAGTAATGATGAGAGAGGGCTATTAATGATCTGTTCAAAGCTTGTTGATCCTAAAGCAAAAAAAAGGGAAACTATAGATTATTATTATGAAAAATAAGATTTAGGAGATGAGGCTTGCTACGAACAAAAAGATGAGACTTTTATGACATCTTGATACCCATCATAGAAGCTTATGATTTTATAGTTGATAGAGAAGCAAAACTTGAGATGATCAAAGTGGGCCTAGTAAAGTTCAACTGTATTCCCACCTCTCTACAAGAGCAAAAATAGTTGATGCGTGAAGTTTCAAAAATTAAAAGCCTCGATACTATACTAGTACAAAAAGTTAT